GTAAGGAATACTTTAAGTGTTTATAGAGACACCTTTGAAAGCAATGAATAGAATGTTTAAACTATATAGAATTATATCTTTACTATTAGCATTAAACTACTCTTTGGCTTTAGCTATAGAGACTGAAAACCTATACATTGCTGTTTCAAGTGATCAGCATACTTATTTAGAAATGACGGAAGAAGATATGCTGAGATGTATAGAGGAACCCATTCGAGTATGTGACCCCAATTCAGGAAATTATTCAGTACCTATTGCAATATTTAACTATGTAATATTTGTAGAGATTAAAAACAGAATAGCTGAGTTATGTGAAAATACAATAATAATCCCTAAACTTTTCTATTTCTATAAAATAACGACCTCAGGAACTTGGTTGTTTAATGTAAGAAACAAACTTACCTTATCAGTTGTATGTCCTAAATCAGATGTGCATCAATTTGACTATCAGACTAGAGTAGTTATGTTAAGAGATAGTGGATACCTGAGACTAGCTAGAAACTGTTCTGCACATGGCTAGGGAATAACATTACCCTCCAGTTTTAGAAGTAAAACCAAGTATACAGGAACTCAGTTAAATATAAAAGTACTAGGTTTACAAGACCATGAAGGAATCACATTTACTTCAAAGTATAAATGTAGATTCAGAAATTAAAGAACTGACAAACATATTAGAGGAAACTCAAAATTTGCCCCCTAAGAGATCAGGGTTAACTATTAAGGAGTTTCAACAGTATGTAGACTTCGTGCGACCTACAGCAGAAAGAAATGGGTTAGATAAGTGGAAGTTATCTAATTCAATGATGACAGCATTATGCTTAGTAGTAGTACTAGTAAGTATAATGTTGTATAAAATGTGACCGATTGGCCTTAATAAAGTTGTTGAAATTAGGTGGGCTGTTTAAATTCACAAAGAAGAATAGGACAGAGCCAGGCAATAAAAAGTTGTCCTATTCAGAGGCTACTGAAGTAGTTGAACTAAATGACTGTAACCAATCTAACTAGAACATAGACTGCTCATATAAACTGATGCAAAGTTAGATTTGTATGATGATTCTATAAGGTTAACAGCTTATAAAAAAGTAAACATTATAGGACAAAATTAATAGGTAAAACTGATAGGTTTAGTTTAATCATTGATGAAGAACAGATTGAGAATTAACATTACAAGAACAAGAAAACTGAGATTTGAAGACAATGTGCTCGAAAACATGGTGTGTGCGATGTGAATCAAAATGCATGAGGTGAATTGAAATAACTTTGAGATTCATGGTGAAAAACACAGAACAGGTCGTGAACGTATTGGATTGATAACAAAGAACCGTGATATGGGATACTATTATGTTTACAATGTTTTGGGTTTATCCTAACTTTGTATGATACAACTGCAGGAAGAAAAGGGATAAAGCTGCCATAGTTGAAGTAGAAGGTTTCTCGAAGATAAAAATTTCCTTAAGGAATGAATTTGATCATTATTAAATTAGAATGTCGTATAATGAAGTATGATACTTAGCTGAATTATTTTAAGCATTATTCAATATATATACGAGAGAGAGAAATAGAAACAAAGAGTTTGGATAGTGAAATTTTTCTCGAAGATAACAATTTCCTTAAGGAAAGAGGAATGAAGCAATTGAGGCATTTCACCAAATTCCAAATACTTCAAGAATTGAGAAAATATGCATCTCATAAAAAACTCTACGTGTGGCACACATATATGCAATAAGAAGAAATATTATGCACATTTAGTGGATGCATAAGAGAAGGTTTTTTTTTGTTTTGTAGTTAAGCACAAAGCTACACAATGGGCTATTTGTGCTCTGCTCACCATGGGTATCAAAAACCTGGTTTTTAGTGTTATAAGTTTGCAGACATACTGCTGTGCCACTGGGGGACAAGAGAAGTTATGTAACAATGATTGACTACAAAAGGAAAAATATGTCAAGCATAAACCAAAAATACACTCTAGTTGATATTCAAAAATAGATGTTTATATTCTCTATAAACCATAGCTATCACAGACATGAGAATGTTTATGTAAACTTCATTAGAGACCAGAAAAGAGATCCATATCTATAGACTAATGCGATCATAGCAGAGAGAAAGCTACAAGAAAAGTTTATATTAACTTGGACACAACTTCCAAAAAAAAGGGATTAACCCTGTCGAGCCAGGTATCCTTTACTGCGTATGACACACAATATTTTAGTGTCTTACATTCAAAATTTTATTATACTACCTTTTGTTTATGTTATACCAATTAGAATAGCATAAAATCTTGGCTATAGTATACAAGAGAACATTAAAAAAAATCCCGAATTTCCACAAGTGTGACCCACATGACACATTTTGTTTTAGCATGCCATCATCCCTATTTTATCAATCACCCCTCAAAAATGTAGAAATTAAACTTAAATTACTCTATAAAATTGTTATTGCTCAGACAGACCATAATTTTTATAGTCTTCAATTATGTTTGGTTACATAGCTATGGTACAGAAAATCAGACCCCTTCTGTCACACCCACCTGTCACATCCTCTCTTTCACAATTTGTTGATAGTTCTCTCTTACATTTCATTATATTATACCTATAATCAATAGAAAGTCAAGGTTTTTATCTATCGAATGACATTGTATAACATTGTGTTGTGTACAGAATATCATCAATTTCACTCAGAGTACAAGATTCGTTCCCTCGGGAAAGTTAATGGTTAGCTTGGATGAATTTGTAATGGCTCTTGTTGCATAGTTAATAAGGCAGAAAACTTTTGAGAGTTAGGGGAAATTGTCTACTTTTTGCAAGTTTTTAGCCTATTTTATTTGGTGCAATGTTTAATTAAATAAAAATTACTAAATACATTACTTTTGGTACTATAAAAAGTTAGGGTTAACTTTCTTCGAAACCGATGACAAGACAAAAGAATATTAGTTATGTATTTTATTTCTTGTTTATTTATTATTATAAAAGTAATTAAAATCTAAAAATATGGATCTTTCTAAGTTACTTAAGATTAGATTAGGTAAAATAAGAAGTAATAATAATAATATAATTAAAATGATTCACAAAGCATGCACGCGAGCAGCTTGTGGGTAATATAAAATTTAATTATAAATAAATGTATAGTGTTACAAGTTGAAGTCATTCTAGAAAGAAAAGAAAGTTAATTTAGGTTTATTTCGAATTTTTTGGTGGTTATCAGGTTGGTCAAATTGATCATCCTGTTTTGAGATAGGGTAGAGAAAATAACTAATAAACTCTAAAGTTTTACTGAAAAAAAAACGTTTGAAATTCACTAAGGTGGTTTTAGGGATTACACAAAGGAAAGGTATTATTAATTTTTACATGAAAATTACTTTGCTCATGGCCTATTCCAAACAAATACTCTATATATTCATGGTCAAATCTTTATTTCATTTTATATAAAATATTTCACTAAGAAATATAACTTTTTGCATGTGAAAGACGTAATATTAACTGAAAGACTGAAATTTCATGAAGATATACCCACTATATTGAGAGCTATAAGTATTAAATCCGTAAAGACTTTAAACGAGTACAAAAAGGTCACATGGTCAGTCAAATTGACCGTATCGGAACTTTGATGTAAGATCAATGTCAAAATGAGAAGAGATAAATGCAAACAGGCTGCTGATTTACTGTCTTCAAGTATAACCAATTATTGAAGTATTTTTGTTTTTGGTTCCAAGAATCATGATGAGTTTGCAAAAACCATCCAATTGAGTATCAGATCTACTTGTGGGTTAGTTGTTTACGCTATTTGGAAAATCGTAATGATACCAAAAGATTTGATATAAGAACCCCTGTTTTAGGTTAAAAAGTCAGTCTCCCTGTCATGGAAGAACAATCCACTGATGCTACTGAAAGATACCAAAGATGATGAAGACTTCAGTTCTTCAAAAGATTCAGAACACCGCTTTGACCTTGATGTAATTAACGATTGCTATTTCTCTTAGAATCAAATAACATAGTTAAGAATTGAAGACTGAATGTACCATGTTTAACCCATTAACTGACGATGATGGATATTTCTGTCGTTGAAGTTCTATGGCTCAGCTGTAAATGATGGAAATATCCGTCAGTCGCACATATATAACTATAACTCTATGCAAATGACGAAAATTACAGTTTTATTGTGATTGATGGCAACTCAGTTTTATCTGTAAGTCAGAAAATGGCAACTGAGCTGCTCCTGCCACAGTTAATGGGTTAATATTGAGTTATGTCTGAACAGATTTCTTTCAATGTATTAATTGATAACTTACTGGTAGTGCTAAGTGATTTAATAGATGTTATATAGAAAGTTTAATTTAAGAAGTGTTACTGGTGCAAATTTAATAGTTTTGATAATAACATGTTCCAAGATATTTTCAGTAATTTAAATGTAGCCAAGAATTTTAATATATATTGCATAAAAGTGTTGTTGTATTTTGAACCTCAGTTTCCGAGTCGATTATTTATTCTAACTGTAAACTTCCTCAAATTAGTGACTTGTGTACTGTATATCTGAATTTAATATAAATCTATTGTAATTGGATTTAAAGTCAAAGTCCAACGACTAGCTAATACAGCCACCTGGTATGACAGGCGAGTAAAATTAATGCACCCATGTAAATTTTTTATATTTAAAAATTACAATTCATTATACAGTGTATGTTTTTCAAATTAACCCTAAGTTGACAATTTTGAACTTTCATACTTTATTTTTCAAAGTCCTATAAATATCGAAGTACAATACCTATACTTTACATCTGACATAAAAAAATAGCTAGCAATGATCTTGTATTAAAATTGGAATAGGAAGAAAATATATTCTTTGAAATAATTACTACTCAAATATTCAATATCTTTGATTTAGTGTCCTGAGATTTTTTTACCTTCTTAATATACAAGAAACAGTAAAACTGTATAAAAAATAATAAAAACAAGTAGTGTAAACCTTAAAATTTTGGAAAGCTAATATTACTTTCAGGTATTTACCTGTGCAACCCTCATCTTTATCTTTAACTGAAAAGCCAGGATCACAGTGACAGACGAAAGATCCAACGGTGTTTTCACACACTCCATTCAAACACACGTTACGGTTCAAAGCACATTCATCAACATCTGAAATGTTGAAAAGCTTTTTTTGTTAACATATTTCAAACTACCTTAAACAATAAAAATATTGGTATAAATAATGCACACACATATATATATAGCTGGAACCGTTTTAATGATAGACGATTAACCTTTTACTTAAACCTCAAAATATTACAAAATATGCAGAGTTAATGGTCTAAAATTAATCTCAATTAATTACAGAGGTTGAGTGCATTATAATAAACCAATTTTGGAGCCTCTTCATGCTATTTTAGTTCATGTTTCCATGTCTAATCATGGTCTATCTGATAGCCATGCATCTTGATAAGAGCTCTGCAGCATAGTTTTCATTGCAAAAGGCTACAAAGTAAGACCTTTATGTCAAAAGCACACTGCTACTTTCTGCATGCTTTCTCAGCACCCCTTTCAACAGTCTGTTTGTACAGAATTCAAAGCACTTCATCCAGCAAATTGACTGTTATGTCTGTTACGTCTCCGTTTGTTAATTGATTTTCCGTAACTTCGTTCCGACAAAACTTAAGCGACACAAGTTCTTTCTTAATAAAAACAAACGCTATAACAACGAACGTGTTCAATAATACTTCTGACTGCAGATCAA